TCAATGTAAAACACTTCTTCAAGTCAAGTCAAGTCACATTTATTTATATAGCGCTTTTCACAATACAGATTGTATCAAAGCAGCTTCAAAGTGATAACATGAAGGTAGCACAACACAGATCAACAACATTGCTAAACACTAAATAACCCCAACTGAGCAAGCTCAAAGCAAGCCAAAAGCAAGGCGACAGTGGCAAGGAACCAAACTCCATCAGATTGGATGGAGAAAAAACCTTGGGAGAACCCAGGCTCAGTCGGGGGCCAGTTCTCCTCTGGCTTACATTCATATTGTTTAAATATAAATATTAAATATAAATATTGTTTATGAATCAAACGGCGCCATAACATATCGCAGGCGTTGAGTCGTCTCTTCACAGGAGTTGAGTCGTCTCATCACAGGCGTTGGAGCATCCGAAATCCCCGTGAGAGGCTGGACACAAAACTGGACCTGACGAACGCCATTTTTCTCGGGACAAGCGTCCCGAGATAACAGCAGAAAGGCAGATGGGAAATAATTAGCATAGCTGATGTTCATAATGATTTCCGTTATAACTCACAAACTCTCCGTAACCTGAACTCTCCGCAACCCAACCATACGCGCCAACCATACGCGCCGACCCGTTTGTCTAAAAGGCTGTCGAGCCCCACTGGTGCGTTAAGCAGTTTCAGTGGCAAACGGTTCCGTATGGCATAACAGAGGACTAAAAGGTAAGCATTATGTGAATGCTTGACTAAAGAGAAGCGTCTTTAATCTAGTTTTAAACTGTGTCAGCGAGTCAGAGGCTCGGACCGTATCGGGAAGGCCATTCCAGAGTTTTGGAGCTAAATGCGAGAACGCCCTCCCTCCTTTACTGGACTTCGATATCCTAGGAATGACCAGAAGCCTTGAATTTAGTGATCTTAAGGAACGCGGTGGATTGTAGGGCGAAAGAAGGTCCGTTAAGTACATAGGTGCTAAACCATTTAGGGCTTTATAGGTCAGTAGTAGTATTTTGTAGTTGATGCGGAACTTAATAGGTAACCAGTGTAGAGATGATAAAATCGGTGTTATATGATCATATTTTCTTGACCTAGTAAGAACTCTAGCAGCTGCATTTTGTACTAACTGTAGCTTGTTTATTGAAGATGCAGGACAACCGGCTAATAAAGCATTACAGTAATCTAGTCTCGAGGTCATGAATGCGTGAACTAATTTTTCTGCATCAGAGATAGATAGCATGTTACGCAGCTTAGCAATGTTTCTAAGGTGGAAAAAGGCTGTTCTTGTAACATATGAAATATGATTTTCGAACGACAAGTTGCGGTCTAGTATAACACCCAGGTCTTTTACTGTTGTGGATAAAGCAACAGGACATCCGTCTATATTAAAGTTGTATTGTGAGAGGTTTTGTGAGTAGTTTTTTGGACCAATAAGTAATACCTCCGTTTTATCTGAATTTAATAGCAGGAAATTACGCGTCATCCAGCATTTTATATCTTTGAGACACTCTGTCATTTTAGATGAGTTAGTGTTTTCATCTGGTCGTGATGAAATATATAATTGAGTGTCGTCAGCGTAACAGTGGAAATTAATTCCATGTTTTCTTATAATATTACCAAGTGGCAGCATATATATTGAGAATAGCAGAGGGCCTAAAACCGATCCTTGCGGTACTCCATAGTCTACTGACGTTATCTTTGATTTTTTCCCATTTAAACAGACAAAATGAGAACGGTCCGATAAGTATGATCTAAACCAGCTTAATGCCTGTCCCTGGACACCAGTGAAGTTTTGTAGTCGATCCAAGAGTATTATATGATCTATAGTGTCGAACGCAGCGCTAAGATCAAGTAGGACTAGTATTGAGATACAGCCTTGGTCAGAAGCTAAAAGTAAATCATTTGTAATTTTAACTAGCGCAGTTTCTGTACTATGATGCGGTCTGAATCCTGACTGGAATTTTTCATAGATATCATTTTCTTGCAAAAAAAGAGCACAATTGAGCGGACACTACTTTTTCAAGTATTTTGGACATAAATGGAAGATTTGAAATGGGTCTGTAATTTGCCAAGTTATTTGGATCTAATTGCGGTTTCTTAATGAGCGGTTTTATTACAGCCAGCTTGTATATTTTTGGGACATGACCTAAAGATAAAGACGAGTTAATAATATTGAGGAGAGGCTCTTCCACTACAGGTAATAGTTCTTTCAGTAGTTTAGTGGGTATTGGATCTAATAAACAAGTTGTTGGTTTAGATGCAATGATAAGTTTATTTAGCTCCCCCTGTCCTATCGTTGTAAAGCGGTTTAGTTGTTCTAGAGGGTCCATAATTGAAGCTGAATCATAAGACACCATAGCGGATTGTACATTTATAATTTTGTTTCGGATGCTTTCTATTTTCGCATTGAAGTAATTCATAAAATCATTACTACTAAACTGTAAAGGTATATTTTGCTCTGGTGATGTCTGTTTATTTGTTAGTCTAGCCACGGTGTTAAATAAAAACCTTGGATTATTTTGGTTATTTTCGATTAGTTTGCGGAGATGCTCAGCCCTGGCTGTTTTTAGTGTCTTTTTATAATGTGACATACTGTCTTTCCACGCGATTCTAAAGACCTCTAAATTAGTTTGTTTCCATTTACGCTCTAAGTTGCGAGTTTCTCTCTTGATAGCATGCGTAGCACTGTTGTACCATGGTGCTTTCATTTTCTCTCGAACCTTTTTTAATCTAATTGGCGCAACAATATCTAATGTACTAGTAAGAATGGTGCTTAAACTGCTAGTCATTTCCTCTAATTCATCTGTTTGTTTGGGTTCACTTTGCAGCTTAGATAGATCGCTATTTGAAAATCCATCTATAGTGGTTGGAAGGATTGTTCTGCCTGGTCTATAACGTGGCGCAACATGACATATTTCAGCAGTACGTATTATGCAAGTCACCATGTAATGATCAGTGACATCATCGCTTTGCGGTATAATATCTATATCAGTTGGATCGGTTCCATATGATATAATTAAATCTAGTGTATGATTTAGACGATGAGTGGGACCACTGACGTTTTGTTTGACCCCAAAGGAGTTTAATAAATCTGTAAACGCAGCCCCTAACGCATCATTTGTATTATCTACGTGTATGTTAAAATCTCCAGCAATTATTGCTTTATCGACATTTACCAATAGATCCGAGAGAAAGTCTGCGAACTCTTTTAGGAATTCAGCATATGGCCCTGGAGGTCTATATACAGTAGCCAGGGCTAGAGATAATATAGATTTCCTTCTTACATCTAAGAGCGTAACATTTAGCACAAGTACTTCAAATGAATTAAACCTGTGACCTGTTTTCTGAGTAATATTAAAAATATCTTTATAGATTGTTGCAACACCGCCGCCACGACCGATCAGACGAGGCTCATGTTTATAACAGTATCCTGGCGGAGTAGATTCGTTTAGACCGAAATACTCATTTGGTTTAAGCCAGGTTTCAGTAAGGCACAGAACATCGAAGTTATTGTCTGTGACCATTTCATTTACAATAACCGCCTTAGGTGTGAGCGATCTAATGTTTAGGAGACCTAGCTTTAGAAATTGTTTTTGTTGACTGATATTTAGATTTTCTGGTTTAATTACAATAAGATTTTTGCTAGATCCTACACTAGATTTATTGTTTGGCTTCACTAAACGAGGAATAGACACAGTTTCTATATAATGTTCCACACTATGCTTATTAGTTAAGTTTGGACCGCAAAGGCTGTAATTTGGACTTTGACTCATTAGTCACTTCTTCTCCATTCATCATAATGACTTGGGCCTTTTTTGTTCAGTATTACACTTACTACAGACTTTACATACATAAGTGTGTTGTAAAGTATTTGAGAATATTGTTTTTATACCCAGAACACACAAATACACGTTAACAATTATTTTTCCCACAAAAACAATGAGAGATAGATCGCACATTTCATACACCCCAACCAACACAAAGTTGCACTTCACGAGTTCACACTTACAAATAAGTCAGATAGAATAAATGCGTATTTGGCGTGCTGTCCGAGGAGAGGGCTCTGGGCTCGGTATGCGGCCCGAACCCAGAGTACTCCCCCCCTATGACTGTGGTAAGAATGAGCCAGGAGTGAGGAGTCGGGGTGGTGGAGGGATGCTGAAACTGTCAAGGAATGTCAGGTGAGTTGAAAGTGGATATTTATATATGCTTCCTCTCGTGCTGATAGGGTAGACATGTAATTGTTTGGTGACGAGTTGATTGGAATGATTTATTTGAATGTGCTCCTCCCGAACCTTGTTTATAAAACATTGTGTCTAAAGTAGAATTTGTGAGAAAAACTGTAATAGCAGGTAAGTCAAGGAAGCCAGCCATAAAAACTCGCTATTTTATTTACTTTTCAATGCCTGATTTGAAACATTTGGTGCTTGGCAGGTGATTAAACATTGGAGTCAATACATTTAATGAAGGATTTAACTTTCTGATTTAAACACTGCATCTGAGGATAATTGTATGTTTTTTTTTGTTGTTGTTGTTGTTTTTTTTCATTGAATAAAGCAAAAAATTTATATTGAAAAGATTTGTGAAATCTTGTAGGGTAAATCTATTTAATCATTAATTTATTAATCATATTTTTAGGATAACTTCACAAATTCATAACACCTTTTTTTTCTATCTACTTCATCCGATCATCAATCCATATAACAACTGAGTTACTTATATCTAGCGGAAAGTTCCTGGACTCACAGTAATTAAAAAATTAATGAAATGTTTTAAAAATCGTCTTTATTTTAAATAAGCACTCTGATATGCACTGCAAAATTACCAGTTCGATTACCTCGCGTTTCAGACGCTTTTACTTTGAGAGAGGATGGAGTGGTTCTGCGTGTGTTAGGATGTTTCAAAAACGGGCAGAACTCTACGCTGTGATTGGCTGATCGGCGGGATGCTCAGGTGTTGGAGGAGGATGCAAGCAGCCGCTGGATGTCACCATGTGTCTGAGAAAGAAGAGATAGCCACACTGAGGGGGAAAAGAAAGCTATCTGATAAAGGGCTAATCAATTATTAGCCGTTTCATTTCATCAAACAATAACTTAACCGCTACAGATACTAGTAAATAGCTATATTGCTGTAAATAGAAGGAAATCCTGTAAATCAGTTCGCACCAGTCGGCGCCCCATAAGTCAAAGCGCGTGACTGTGTGTGCCTGCGTGGGGAATCACAGATCACCGATCAATGGAAGTTAACCGAGCCAAACCCGCTTCGCTCTCAGTGCGTGTACGTCTGTAGCCTGCGGAGATTCCATGGATGTTTATTTCACGTAAGTTTTGTGCAGATGGCACATTGATTCTTTTGGATCCTATTGCTTGAGAGCTGTTTGAGTCGTTAATGAATGTGCAAAAGTTTCTGTGTGAATTGTACAATCGACCAACACAATGAGAGGATGGAGAGATGTGATTTTTTGTTTGAATGTTGTGACCACGCGTGCTTATAATTGTTATCGATTTATTTTTCATGCACAGTGTTAGGTGCACCTGACTCATTTAGTCATCTGCCTATGGCAAGCCGTTTTAGCGTTAAGGTCAGCTGTAAAAGGTGGTTGCTGTTTGTTGTTGGTGCCTGGTAACTGGCTGAATCCGAGATCACCTCCTATTCACTATTCCCTACTTTACTCTACTGTTCATTTGAAAGAGTGAATGAAAACGAGTTGCCTATTGAATTCGTCACTACACTATAGCCTACCCTATACAACAGCCGTTGAGGGTATATAATTTCCAGTGACGTTTGGTGATGTATTAAAGAGGCTAGGCACTCAGTTATGAAAGACAGATTGATTTATTGTTTAGGCTAATAATAAGTAATAACAGTAAACGTTACGACGATCGAGGGCGAGGGACTTAAGAAGACGGCGTGAGGCCGGTGGCATGAGTGATAATGCAATACCGTGCGCCGGTCTTGTGTCTCTCACGGAGGAGCGAAACCATAATGCAGCAGATCGAGAGAGAAACAGGCCTGATTTTATGATGTGATTTGTTTCTGTTGTGAGTAACGTTACAGCAGTCGTCTTTTGTTTTGTATTTGTTCATTTTACTATTAAAATGTTTAAATGTTCGCCGGTTCCCACCTCCTTCTTCCCACAACAACAAACCCCGTTAACATTACATTGGCCTACTCATTAGTGAATTGCTCCTCGTTTGTATTTATTTCTATATGGTGAATTATGGCTCGTTTCCACTGAGTGGTATGGTATGGTACAGTTCGGTTCGGTACGCAATTATTTGCGTTTCCACTCGGCTGTTGCGACTCGTAAAGATAGCCACAAAGACCGGATTCGAGCAGCAAAATTCCATATCATGTTTAGTTTCTTCCTTCATTATCATACTTCCTATCTCCACAGAGCTTGTTAGCTTAGCTTCCAAACAAGATGGCTGATATGTTGATTCAGTATCTGCAAGTGAAGTCCCACCCACTGATCTGTAATAAGCCTGTAGGGTGAGTGGGTCCCACCATAGACATCATATAGGTAGACGCCCTATCGACCGCTACTGCCTATTGGCACGAACGAGAATTGGAGCCGCCATCTCAAACCGGTCATCCGCTCCGCTCAGTGTAATCTGAATAGCAGGTGAAATGAGCTGTCAGCGCATTAAATTTATCATATCTCACTGAATACTGAACTGATTTTCACACGTTTTTTTTTTTTTGCTGCAAAGTTCATTCATGTATCTCTGATACAGGACACATGGTTCGGTGTATTTTAATATCCATAGTAGGTTTAACAGTAATATAATATTCTGATATAAAGATATAAAGTGACCAGACACAATATGTGTGATGAAGAAGGATATAATGTATTTTATAAATCACTCACTATAAATATAATAAAGAAGCAGAAACAGATAGTTACAGTAAAGTAAGATATTTTAATAAGTTGAAGTAACAATTTATGATTTGTCACACATATACACACGAACAGACACACTAACAGACACACACACACACGCTCTCTCTCTCTCTCGCTCTCTCTCTCTCTCTCACACACACACACACACACACACACACAGAACGCAGCCACCGAACGAATCCACCGAACGCAGCCATCTGTAATAAAAATTGAGAAGATTTTCAACGTGTTTTCATCAGTAATTTCTAAAAATTAAATTCGGACAACATTAAGCCTATACCTATTTTATTGTATGTGGATGTGGGAGGGGAAAATGTCGAGATTCGAGACTAAAGCCCTATTCGGATTAACTTTACAAGGGTAGATGGAGTAAGTTAATAATGTACTTTTACCACAGGACTTCTGTAATATCAATAGCCAAATCGCATGTGATAAGATATAGGTTATCAATAAACCTAGAAGTTGGAGGGGTAACTCAATTTGCGCATCACTGTCATGCATGTATATTACATTGCTTCCTGATCTCATGTGCGCAAACACAAATAACCTATAGGCTACAACAAGGCAGTTGAATGCTTATCTGATAACCTAGAAGCTCTTGTAGTTATTACTTTAACAGTTACCCCACCTCTCCATGCCGGGTGAACACCGGCTGATGCAGTAAACAACATTTCACAACGATTTCAGTACACTAATAGCAAATATCCTTGCTCCTGCTCGATTATCAGGAAATATTCTATTCACAAAATACAACCAATAGTACGGTAATGTTAAGACTTGCGTGTGAAAATCCCTATTTTCGGTGGTCCGGCGATTAGAACAGGAAAATGCTCCACAATGCTCTGGCATATGCTGCCACGCAACAAAACTAGGAATACGACCGGTTCAAGATGGCGGCCGGATTTCTCGGTTTCCAGCGGCCAATAGGGTATCTAGTCTCTATATGATATCTATGAATAATAATCCACACCCTTGAATAATAATGAGCTAATGTTTGTAGTCTCTAGACTTTTTAATGAAATATGACTTCCTGCTTATTATGATGCAAAATGACGATTTTTACATCATAATAAGCAGGAAGTAAAACACTTAAATCCTTATTTCTCCCATCTCAGGGGAAAATAAGGGAATAAACTATGACCATTCAAAAATATGACTGGGTGTCTTAAGATACAAAGCTTAATGCAAATGGGTTTATTTCTGTGATCATGGCCAGTGCTGTCATTTTGACTTGATGAGCTGTGGTGTAATGACGTTAGCTATGCAAATGTGTCCATGCAATATTTTCTCTATTTTGTCTCGAAGTTGATGGGCTACTTTAGTTTTTACAGTAGTTTCGACCCGCACCGTGTAGCAGCGTGGACGTTGGGCAAACTGCAGCGAATAGCCTCTTTTTATAATGTACAGCACCCATTCAATAACCCGGGAAGCTTGTGCTTGTGCTTGCAGCGTTTGAGGCGGAGGGCACGCCTATCGCGGCGGGCAGCCTGGCCGCACTTGATTCCCTTATAGCAGTTTGGTGAGAGAGAGTGAGCGGGTAAGCCCCGTGGACACATTTATGTGCAATAAAAAACACTGAAAACACTGTCAACCTGAGCTGATGTGTGTTGGTTTCGTTTTTACTGAAACCGTGAGACATGATTGAGCTTGAGCCGATAAAGAGTCCACTGTAGAGATCAGCAGGAAGAGTCAGATTTCACCTCATTCTTGAATGATAAGACAATGGCAGAAGATTTGGTTTCAAAAGGCAATGTAAAAATGGCTATTTAAGGGAGTTTGTCATTGTACCGTTTAGGGACGAAAATTATCGGCCGAAAATGGCATTTTCGGTTCTTGGCCGAAAGAGACAACAAAAATATGCCACTCGGTGTAATTCTGAATAACCAAATAAACCATACATTTATTGAAGTCTGTAACATACATTTAATTGGCTGATGTGCCAATCTAATAATATTATTTATTATAACATTGCTTGTTTGTTGTGGGTTCACGGTCTATGATGTGGAAGTGTCTGTCAGTAATTTGCTTTGCTGTGAGCGGTGTCATGATGCATTGGCTTACATCAGGGCTGTCACAATGTTATATTTTTCACACCACGGTTATTGTGGCCAAAAGAATTCACAATATCGATATCTGTAGTTATCATTTTTACTTTTACTTAACCCAACAAACATAAGGGTACTCATAAACACAAGCCACATGTATTTTTTACTTCTTGCATACTCAATCTATGGCAATTTTTAAGTAAGACAAGTATGTGAAGTTAAATAATAATAAATAAGTAAAATGTAATAAATAAGTAATCTGATAACACCAAATAATAATAAATAAGTAAATAATAAATGAGTAATCTATTAACACCAGCAATTTTCATGTAAGCAGCTGATTTCTGTAAATGAATGTAAAACTAAATGTATATTGCAGCACAGTTTGTCATTTATGATGATTTGAGACAAATATAATGTAAATGGTGTAGTCTCCCTGAAGAGGGGAACATAGAAATATTATCAGGACAGACACTTGTTGCGTTTCCCTCAAATCTCTGTATTATGAGTAGGGGGAAGGGAATGTGCGTCTGATAATAACTCTCTGTGCTCGCTAGGGCTGCACGATTAATCGAAAAAAAAAAAATCACGATCTCGATTCAAACATAAATGCAATCTCATTTCTTTATGATGGCGATTCACTTTCCGTATATTCCCCTGTATTTTAGATCATGCCGCATTCGCGCGTTATTGGTCACGCGCAATCTGAATAACTTCTCTCCTCTCCTTCTTTGGGCGTTCCACTGTTTAGACAGATGTGTAAGGCGGCGGCGGCAGATCTAAACGGTATCAGTTTACTTGATGGGTTTGCAGCGATAAGAGGTAAAAATGAACCCCAGTGTGGAAAATCCTGGTGGCGACGGTGAGAGTGAGGATGTAACAACATTGGTACAGAAAAAAGGAGCATATTCCACCGTGTGGAACTTCTTCGGATTTAAACCTGAAGACGATGCGCAGAGAGTTATAATCTGCAAGCAGTGCTTTTGCGTGGTCGCAGCACCGCAAGGTAATACCACAAATCTATACAATCACCTCAAACGTCACCACAAAATACAGTACGAGTTAGCCATGAAAGATAAGGGAGCCACATCTCAAAACACCAGCCGCCACACCACGCAAACGTCCATAACTCAGACGTTGTACAGAGCATCGCCATACCCTTCAAGTTCCCAGCGGCACAAAGACATAACGAACTCCATCGCTTATCATTTAGCTAAAGACATGGCTCCAATCAACACAGTTCAAAACGAGGGATTTAAGGCAATGATAAAGACTTTAGACAAGCGCTACTCGTTGCCCTCTCGCAACTATTTTTCATCCGTTGCACTTCCAGGTCTATACACACAGTGTCGAAGAACAGTCGAGGAAGAA